AATATATAAATCACATCTTAACAATTTTAATATAAAGTTGCATAACTTACAATTATTATTTTTTCTTTTTTGTTACAGTCTCATCCTAATGATTTAAGCTTACGGACAGACCCTCACCCAAAAGATTTGAAATTGCAGTTGGTAACGGTACAAATAGGGGGACATACTCTAATGCCATAGGAGACGACACTATAAAACAAAATAGAGAACGTGGGAGTTTGCTAGATGATTTCACATATGATCCTTCAGCATTTATTCCATCAAGTGCTCAAGATCCTTTTCCACCGTCTCGTGAAAACTCTTCCATGCCAACTTTAACTCAACAAAAATGCTCTGAACCCCGCCCACCTCTAAGAGAACGAGCTACAATTTTGATTCTCAAACAAAGGCTGCCTCATTTGATCCTAAAGATACTTAAGATCTCATAGACAATCTTACATCAAATGTGGGAAAGTTTACTTGTTCTATTGAATCAATTGACAAAAAAGAGTCAAGTATTGAGATCTGATTAATGAGATTACAGGCTTAACTTTTGAGGATCGTTTCAAAACTCTTGATTTGTTTATTACTAAAGCAAAAAAGTCAGAGTTTTTTAATATATCTCAGGATGAACGAGCTGAATGGATAGCATATAAGTTGAAATGATTTATATATAAGATTACTATTAAACTTCTAGGTCATTGTTCATTGTTTTGAGCAGTTTTGACTTGGTTTTTTTTATTTTTATGAATTTTATGACATATATCATTTATCTTTAATTCATGTATATTTGAATTTTATTAATTTATATCGTTTCATCTCTTATTAGTTATTCCAGGTCACATAAGATTGGCATATTTTTCTTGTATAAACGATGTGAGACAACTCACAAGTGTTATTATATTCTGATATACACATTGGACATGTGTCAGTACATAAAGTTATAGAAGCTCTATAAGGGAGACATTCGATAGCTCCACAGAATTTCTGTAAAATAATACATTCATTTTTATTTTTAATTTTTAAAATTCATTATTCGATTCAGCAATTGATCAAATTACTCGAGAATTGACCGGTGACCCGCAGACATACCGAGTCAATCCCTGGTAGGGTGTAATATTTAAAAAATGGTGCAGAGTCGGTGGTGCTGTCAATTTTCACTTTTCAATTGCTTTCATAAATCCCGGATTTTGGCTCACCAGCTAGGTTACTTTACTTTGGTGGGGGAGAGAGGGAGAAGCAAAGTGCGTGAAACGATGTCGCAGAACGGAAAATTGATGCCCAATCTCGACGAGAAGACGACTAAGGTGCTTAATTTGACAGTGCTTCAACGAATAGATCCTTTGGTGGAGGAAATTCTCATCACTGCCGCTCACGTCACCTTATACGAATTCAACATCGACAATAGCCAATGGGTATGCTAAATCTAAAATTGGGAAGCATATAAATCGAGATATGTAGTGGCTAAGTTCGTTTGTTTTCCCCTTTTTTGTGTCTTTCTTGATTGGCAATGGATTTTCTATTTTTTTTTTCTTTCTTTTTATTGGGCAGAGCCGAAAAGATGTCGAANTTTGATTCAGGAATACTCAGCCACGTTTCCAATTTATAGTAATGAATCGTCGGAACACTGGTTAGTCGCCCTATTAGATGACATTGCTCTCAAATTATCTTGGAATTGTGAATATGCTGACGTGTTACGGACATATTTCCTTATGGTGCCTACTGGTGTAATAGACAAATGAGTTATTGTTTATGCTTATGTCAACTTATCACCAAGTGACAAGATTTCATTAAGCTAATGGGATGAGTATTCTAGAATTTTATTTGAAGAACCATTGATTTTAAAAGTACTGGCAAGCGGAGGTAGTAGTTTATCTGGCTTCTAAATTTGACTTGGCTGGTTAAAATGTGTTTCGTCCTTTGACATAGTGCAATCTGGGCTTTTGTACTTTTATTCTTTCAATTAAAAAATACAGTTAGTGCAATCTGGGCTTTTGTACTTTTATTCTTTCAATTAAAAAAATACAGTCTTGAAGAATCTGGGGTCCTTGATTGAATACAAATTGAATAAAATTTTAGCATGAATTATCAAACGGCCCTTGTTGCTGCACTAACCACTTATTTGAGTTCATAGTCTGTACCATAACTTCTTTGAATCGTATTTCAAAATTATTGCTATTATTTTGGTAAAGACCTAGGAGCAGAACATAGTGATAATGTCCACTGATAAGGGCTACAGCTTAAGTTTGGGACATAATGGATTTGAAACACATGTTATCAGGAGCAATTAGTAGGTGAAAAGAACAGAGATTCGGGAAGGAAATAATTGTAAATTTTAAATAAGATGTTATTAACCTTAATCCATTTTTTTATGGGCTGTTCAGAAGTTTGGTTCAAGCTGAGTAAATGAAATGGAAATCTTGTGAAAAATTAACTTGCTACTAAAGGTGCACCACAATCCATATACATTAAAAGGTCTTGTTTCCATTGGCAGATAATCTGGTGGAGAATCTCTTGGGAGATTTTGAGTATGAAGTGCAGGTTCCGTATATATTGTATCGAAATGCTTCCCAAGAGGTAAATGGAATATGGTTCTATAATGCACGAGAATGTGAAGAAGTCACAAAATTATTTAGCAGGTTGGTTAATATTTCTGGATCCTCTTTTTTCTTCGTTGTATAGCTGTGCTTTCTGTTTAGGTAACTTTGGTCAGAATCGACACGTTCAAAAGTTTGCTTTGGGATTTACAATAATTGTTTTGGGCCTGGATTCTTATGAGCAATGTGGATGGTAGAAGATATCTTTTATGGAATACAATTAGGTCCAGTTGATCAATTATTGTATTTCTTTTTTCGCCTTTTCTTTTAATCTTTCTGTATGTTAATTATAAAATTCCTCAAAGTAATGGGTTGTCTAATCTGTTGCGGGTGTAATTGTTTTTCTATAGCCAGTAATTTCTCTTTGCAAATTTGTATATATGATTTGTGGTATGGCATTGATGCTTTGCTTTCCTTTTTTTCAATCTATGTTTCATCACATTACTTCTTTGGTTTCTTTTGTAGGATACTTAATGCGTATTCCAAGGTTCCTACAAAGTCTAAAGTATCTTCTGCAAAAAGGTAATTCTGCGGTTTATCTATTCGTCCAGGAACACTAGTCGGAGTTTTCATGGAGTTGGTAACTTGGTTTAGTGAGTAGCAATTAGACTGGTGGCCACATTATACGTAACAAGATCCTGGACTAGTTATAATTAGTTTCAATAGCTATGCAGTCTTCATAGTCCACAAGTTCCTTGGAGTAATATCAAGAAGTTATCTACTTGCCGAAAAATAGTTTTTTCTAGCAGTGAAACCTGGCTTCTCTTTATGCCCACTCTTTGCACCTGTTTTTCAAGTCTGCTAAAGATAAGTGTTTAGAATCATTGAACTGCCCGTAAGTCATCGGCTGTAGTTCTGCCTCTATTAATGGGTAAAATGAGTAGGCACTAGTCCAGATGGATTTGATGTCAGTGTTGTTAATTTTAACTGCTGTCTTAGTTGACTAAAATCATTTTGTAGATAGTCCATATTCTTCATCATTATTTGTGATATTATTATTGCATTTTTATAGAAGTTGGATGTTCTTATCATTGTTATTCTTGGACATACATCTTATAGACTGTTACAAGAGAATAACCTCTCTCTCTCTCTCTCTCACACACACACACACACACACTCGTGCGCGCGCGCGCACACACACACAATTTCTAACTATTATTTTGACAGTGAATTTGAAGAGCTTGAGGCAGTTCCTACACCGGCACTAATAGACGGTCCTCTCGAGCCACCATCTTCGGCTTTCAGTGTCACAGATGTTTCAGATGACCCTTCTTCCATAAACTTCTTTGGTGTATGCTGTCTTTACTTTCTAAGTTTCCTTTCGTGTTCTTAGTAAACATTTTCTACTGTCAAAAACCGGGCCGAAGACTTGATGTTGATATATTTACTTCCCCAAATGAGACCAGTCTGTCTTATGTCTCTTGAACATCCATTCTGTCTTGCGGCATACTCTCGTCAGACTGGACATTCCCCCAAAACTAAACCATTAAATTATAATAAAAAATAAAATAAAATAAAAACCCAAAAAACAGAAAACTCTAAGAACTAAAACCCAATAAAGAAACCTTAAAAACTGACAAAATGAAATGACTGTGTAGCTAAAATTTGGGCACCATGATGAAAGACATTGCCTTCTATATCTTCTCATCCAAATCATATTTGAATGCATTCTTTTACCTTTTCCAGTTATTCTAAGAAAAACTCAAAAATGTTTGCAGGCATCGATGAATATTGGAGGTCTGTCCAACTCATCAATTCCTGGGAAGCCATACCATTCCCCTGCAGCCGTTATTCCCGCATCTCATCCTCATACTACTCCCCTGCCCTCTCTACCGACTTCCCAAACATGCCCTAACTTACCTGCCTCGACCCCTTTAATGTCTATCGTGGACGGCACTGAACCCAACACTGCCTCCAAGCACCCGGCCAATCTCGTCAAGCCTTCGACTTTCTTCGGCCCTCCAGCTTCGACATCTTCGCCAGCAATCATACCTCCCATCTCTTCATCCGTGCCCTTGACTGGATCTCAGTTGAATCCTCCTGCGAGTCTGCAGCGACCTTATGGCGCACCCTTGCTCCAGCCCTTCCCACCACCGACTCCCCCGCCATCTCTCACTCCAGTTTCTTTGCCGCAGTCAAACTATGGCCCGTTGGTTAGCCGAGAGAAAGTTGCGGAAGCACTTCAGTCTCTCGTTCAGGTTTGTCTATTTTTAAGGATTTGATTGCACTCTTACATTTTTGGGGGTGTATTCATTTGGGAATTTGAATGAACACTTTGAGACTTTGAGATTTGAGACTTTTTAAGATTTTCATATTTAGGAGGAATCCTATGAAATCTTAAAAGTCTGAAGGGCAGATTTGGTAAGATTTTTTAAAAGCTCAAAATGAATACCTCGAGACTTTTAAATACACTAGGATTTATAAAAACTTAAAAGTCTTTACGCTTTGTTTCTGTTTGGGCGATATTCACCAAAAGATTTTTTTTTTTTTTTTTTTNAGATTTAGTGGTTGATTTTAAGTTTTTAGAATAGAATACTGTCTTGGCCTGATATGAGTCGATTGTTGGTTGCAGGATAATCAATTCATCGACATGGTTTATCGTGCAGTGTTGAATGCGCACCAGTCATGACAGGACGATCGAGGTTTATTTGTGTGCCTTCATTTTTCCAAGCATAACATGTCATAAGGAGAGTCTTTTGAAGTTTGTCGCTGACTATTGTTTAGGTCTCGTGCAGAGATGGTGAGAGAGTAGAGAGATCTGTTTTGTGGTTTATCCTACATTTTTAGACTATGACATTTGGTGTGGTCACAGTTTGTTGAGCTATTCATCTTATGTCAGCTTATATATATTTACGGGATATTAGGATATCGTATTTGAACTTCTGCTGTTATGTTATTATTTTGGAAAGAAAATTGTTTCATCTAGAAAAAAGTTATTTTGATGGAAAGAAGAAATATTTTTTGAGATTAAGAAAGAATTATGAGATAAAATTTAATGATTAAAGCTGATGTGATCGAAAAATATTAAAAAGTTATTTAGTTATTTTGATACAAAGATGAAATATATTTTACATTGTGGAATAAATATGAGAATATAATGATCAAATTATATGCGATTGAGAAATAGTAAATTAACGAACGCAAATTATTAATAGCTAGTTAAAATCGTTGAAATTTTTTGTTATTTAACTTTGCTGATGAAATTGAGTTGATAACATTGAGGACATAAACTATAAAATTTAATGAATAGCATTTTTTTTTTTAAAAAAAAAAATCAATAAAAATTGTCCTAACATATAAAATTATACTTATTTATATCCAATTGCTCCTTTGTTGAGACGGCGTAATTGGTTAATTTCACGAGATTAATTATTCTCTCTTAAATTTGTAATTCTCTCTTAAATTGTCCTAACATATAAAATTATGACTTTTAAAAGTCTTGATACATTAATTTGAGATTTTAAAAAGTCTTACAAAATCCTAATGTAGTTAACTTATTTGAGACTAGAATTTGTTTTGATTTTTTAAAATTCGGTGAAATTTTTAAAGAAAAAAATATATACGAAATCTGACTACAAATCTTTAGACTTTGAGATTTTCATGGGATTCCTCCTATATCTGAATTTGAAAAAAACTCAGAATGTCACTTAAATTCTTAAACGAATACATACGAGGTCATTTTTGTGACTGTCATGCATGAAGTGCAAACTAATAATTGCCCCATTTTTTGCATGAGTTTGAAAAGTGAGCAATACACATAAAATTTCCTCATTTGTCTTCGTCGATTTCTTGAATTTGAACTATTTTAGCTAGTTTCTATTAATTTACATTTTTCATTTTTATTTTTGATACATGTAAAAAAAACGAGATTATCTGATATCCGGTGATAAAGACAACTCTGAGTAAAAAAATAGATATATGTTTTTAAAAGTAAAAAAGAATCAAAAGAGTGAAATCTCTCACATGAACAGTGAACACATCACCTCAGACTCCTCAGTTCGGTGGACACACACATATACGTGTGTTGTGTGAAAATCCTGAGGCGGTTGTGCTGTCAATTTTCACTTTTCTACTGCTTACGTTTGCCCAGAGGCGGTTGTGCTTTGCACAGATAGAGAGAAGCGAAGTGAGTGAAACGATGTCGCAGAGCGGGAGATTGACGCCCAATCTCGACGAGAAGACGACTAAGGTACTTAATTTGACAGTTCTTCAGCGCTTGGATCCTTTCGTCGAGGAAATTCTCATCACCGCCGCTCATGTCACCTTCTACGAGTTCAACATCTACGACAGCCAATGGGTATGCTAAATCACTAATTGCGGAGCATGTTCATCGACATACAAATGGATTTCACGTTTTTTCATTTTTCCTTAACTGGTAATGGATTTCTGTCTTCTCTCTCTCTAGCAGAGCCGGAAGGATGTTGAAGGCTCCCTCTTTGTTGTGAAAAGGTGAGGGATTATCTAGATCACTTAACCTCCTTCGTTTGGGTATTGAGCTTTCAGGGTTTTAGGAGTTACAGTATCTCTGGTGCTTTGGATTTTTGGTTATTGGTATTAATCTTCTCTTTTCTCATTTTTTTTTTTTTCCTTTTGGGTTCAGGAATACTCAGCCTCGTTTCCAATTTATAGTAATGAATCGTCGGAACACTGGTTAGTCACTCTATTACATTATGTTTTTCTCTAAATTATCTTGGAATTGAGAATATGGTTTTCGTGATCTAGAGACATTAGTATGGTGTCTATTAAAAAAATTACTTCGTGTTTTATGCCAATTTTAGCGTATCCACGTGAAAAGACTTCGTCTAGGATTTAGAAGTATCTGTGGTATCAACATGTGAAGTGAGTAGTGTTGGTGGCATCAAGATTTGACTTGGCTGGTTAACATCAGTTTTACTTTTTATCCTATCAACCATGGTGCAAGCAGTATATTTTTATTCTTTCAAATGGATTATCATTTTTAGGCTCAGAGTTGTGTTCCTAAGAGCATGATATCTGAATGAAATGTTAGCAAGAATCATTTTAAGGCTCTCGTAGCTCCAGAAGAAATCTGGCTAACACGTATTTGAGTTCATAATCTGAACCCTGACTTCTTTGAATAATATTTTAAGATTTGAGAGTTTGACACTATTTTTCTGCTTAAGAATTAAGAGTAGCTAACCTTCGGTGAGAGGTAAGTCCACAGAGGAAGGACTGCAGCTTAAATTAGGGTCCAAAATAGATATTGAGATGCAAATTCTTTAGAGCTACTAGCATTATAGCAGGTGAAAAGAACAGAGATTTTGGAATGGAACTATGGAAGCAAAAAGAAACTATGTCTATTAATCATAATCATTTGGGTTGGGTTTCCAGCTTTTCAGGAACAAAAAAATGTAGAAAAAAAAATGAAATGGTATTTTTGTGTAGAAAGAACACCCAGAAATGTCAAAATATGCAACTGAAGATGCATTATAATCAGTTTATATTAAGTGGTCTTGTTGCTATAAGCAGATAATCTGGTGGAGAATCTCTTGGGAGATTTTGAGTATGAGGTGCAGGTACCATATCTGTTATACCGAAATGCTTCTCGGGAGGTCAATGGAATATGGTTCTATGACCCACGAGAATGTGAAGAAGTTGCAAATTTATTTAGCAGGTTGGCTAATATTTATTGCTCCTCTTTCTTGTCTTCATGTGCTTTATTTGAGGGTGACTTGTTTCAGATATGAGACAAACAGGAAAAGTTTGCTTGAAAATTAAGACTTATTCTTTTGAGCCTTACAATTACGGCAAATTGATCATCTTGTTTTTAAAGAATCTTTCAAATGCTTCTCATATTATTTTGTATGCTAATTTTAATTTTTTTTTTCTTTCTTTCTTTCTTTCTTTTTTTTTTTTTTGTGGTNTTGTTTAATCTGTCGCAAGTTTAATTGTGTTCTCTATAAAGTAATTTCTCATTGCGTGTTAGTATATATTATTTGTGGCATGGTCTTGATGTTTTGCTTTTGTTATTTCAACTTCTGTTTTATAAATATACTTTGTTTTATCTGTAGGATACTTAATGCATATTCTAAGGTGCCCATGCCTACGAAGTCAATTGTATCTTCTACTAAAAGGTAATTTTGCAATTTGTCTGTTTAATTCAGGAATGGTTGTCGGTATTTCAATAGAGTTGTTTCATGTGATTGATTTGGTGGCCTCATCATACTTAACCAGACTGATTCTGAATCAGAATTATGTCCAAAAAATTCTTTGGAGTGGTAGAAAAGATCTACTTGGGAAAATATGTTTTTACTTTGGGACTGAAAAAATATACACAGGGCTCTCTCTCAGCAATGCGCAGTAGTGCAGCATTTATTACTTCTTGGGCCTGTTCTTTAAGTTGTCTAAAGTTAACTAGTTCATAGAACCATTGAACTGCCTCTTCTGTCATACACACTAGCTCCACATGTATTAGTGGGTAATAGAGTAGGTATGTTGAATTTGATGTCAATATTATTGATTTCAGTTACAGTCAGTCTGGGTCATACAATATTGTAGATAGTCTATTGTGTCCTCTTTGTTATCACTGGTTGCCGTAGTATTAATGAGTTTCAATAACTATTATTTTGACAGTGAGTGTGAAGAACTTGAGGCAGTTCCTACATCGACATTAATAGAAGTTCCTTTGGAGCCACCATCTTCTACAAACTCAAATATCACAGATGTCCCAGATGACCCTTCTTCCATGAACTTCTTCAGTGTATGCTCTCTTACCTTTCTAAGTTTCCTGACTTCATGTGTTCTTACTGCTTAAAGGTTTCATACTATCGAAATCAAATTACTAATGATGTCTGTGTAGACTTAATCTCCCCAAACCAAACAGAACGAAATACTCCAATATGAGATTAAAATTAAAAACAATTCAAAACGATACCAAAACATAGAAAAACTAAAATAACTAAAAACCTTATAGGTAACGTAAAAAGTAAAAAAACTCAGAAAAAAAAAAATGATATTTACATGCATCGCTTTATATTTCCAGCTATTTTAAAATGTTTTGCAGGCGTCGATGAATATCGGAGGCCATCCAAACGCATCAATCCCAGGACAGCAGTACCAATCCCCCTCAGCCGTTATCCCGACATCTCACTCGCATGTTATTCCCCTGCCCGGTTTACCATCTTCCCAAACGCACCCCAACTTACCTGCCTCGACTCCTCTAATGTCCATTCCCGATGGCACAGAACCCAACACTGCCACCAAGCTCGTGAAGCCATCGACTTTTTTCAGCCCGGCCGCTGTGTCGTCTTCACCGGCTATCATACCTCCTGTCTTGTCGTCTGTGCACCAGATTGGGTGGAATCCCCCGGAGAGGCTGCAGAGACCTTATGGTGCACCCTTGCTCCAGCCCTTTCCACCACCAACCCCACCACTGTCTCTTACTCCGGCTTCTGAACCACCATTGAATTATGGGCCGATGGTTAGCAGAGAGAAAGTTCGGGAAGCACTTCAGGTGCTTGTTCAGGTATGCTGCTGAATCTTGGTTCTCTTTTCTTAAGGTTTATGTAGCCCAGCCTTGAATGTTGTTTCTGTTTGGGAAGATACACTGGTTAGGAAAATGTAACTTTTTCATATTTAATGGTTATCCATGAGTTTATTGTCTAGTAGAATGCCGTCGTCATTTCATGTGAGTCGATTGTTGGTTGCAGGATAATCAGTTCATCGACATGGTTTATCGAGCAGTGTTGAATGCGCACCAGTCTTGATGGACGGTGGAGATTACTGGTTGTGTTTTCAGTTCTCTTTGTTGTTATAAAGGGAAAATCTGTAGAAGTTTACCGTTGTCCATTGGTAGGTTTGTATATAGTGATTTGTTTTAATTTTAATGTTGGAGCTATTTGGTTTACTGTTGCATTGATCTTACATTTGGTTAAATGTAAAGGCATTTGGTCGAGTCTACCTTGTGGAGCTGTTCAAATTATGTCAACTCCACATTTTCTGGATAACGTGTTCCATTTTTTTCTAGAAATTTAGGGCGTGATTGAATACAAAAATATATTGGTTTTAACTGGATTTGTTAATTAAAGTGAGTTAATTTTGAATACAGTTAATTGAGTGGGATAGTAAATGAACAGTGAATTAAAATTAATCTGATGTGAGAATTATTTAGTTCAGGTTGCATTTTACGAAAAAAATACTTAAAGTTGAAAATTTCAAAAGCACGTATAGTACAGGTTGGAAAAAATTATTTACCCAATAAAAAACAACAATACTTCTTTTCCGGCTGCATAATATGAAAGAAAGACAGTCCAAAAGCAAAAGTAACGAGCCAAAGATGACTCGGAATGGCTTAAAGTATCATTATTGAACCAAAAACTAACAGTGGTGAACACCACCCAATGCCAATGCAAAACAGACTTCTGAAATCTATCACACAAAAGGTAACATTTTACATGATTAAAATAAAATTACACAAGGCAACACCCTCGACAAAGAAAATTTTCCAACTCGTAATCACCAGTTAGTCACATATGTGAACCCCATATCCTCCCTCTTAAAATAGATATACTAAACAATGCACCTACAACCAAAACCAGAGAAAAAAGG